CTAGATGCCAGGGACTCCCCAGCCACCCTCATCCAGCTGAAGGAGGATCAGGAGCAAAGAAACTCCCCCCCACCAGCTGCAGCCCCGTATCCCAGCATGAGCTCACTGGCCAGAGTTCGGATGGGAATATTGATGGGGATGCTTAAAACCATCACATTCAGCCCCCACCATACGCTAAAAGCTCCTGCTATTTTCTCTTTCTGTCAGGGCTTTAGCAGGAGAGCTCCCATTAGCTTTACACATCATCCTTGGGGAAATAGCACTGACAGATGCATGAAATGAGGCAGGTGAATCTTCTTTTCATCACTTACGCCGGAGAAGCCTTGCTAAAAGCAAGAGGAGAATGAGCCAGCTCTTGCAACCTGCTCATGATCCACCCAAAGGGTCACAGCTGGACTTCACACACCTTGCTCTGTGCTGGTTCCTTGGGGACTACCTGATCCCTGCAGGCAGGACAGGATCTGACCCAGAACATCACTGACTCAGAAGCACTTTCCTTGGAGCTGGACTCTCCTTTTCCCCCTGCACAGGGGTCGCTCCCCTCCCTATATTTCACCCCAGCAAACTTCCAGCACAACCATGGGCCAAAAGCAGCTTTGCTATAGAAGAGGAGTGCTGGCATCCCTCACTGCGCCTGCCCTTTCTCACTCTGGTGTGTTTGTGTTGGCCACTTTCCCCCCCAACCCAGAGTGTGCCACAACCTTGTTGGTGCTGCCTGGCACTTGCCCACACCAACCGGGATCAGGGATGAGAAGGATCCATCCCTGGGAGCTGGATCTGCAGCAGCCTCCACAAGAACATTGTGAGCACTGAGGTTTATAACCCAGAAAATCCGGGCTCTGAAGGGCTCTCTGGGGGGGGCAGGAGGCGTGCCGCCCTGCCCAGAGCCACTTTTATGCCATTGTGCCTTTTCAGCATTGCATTAAGGCAGCCAAAGAAGGGGGATTTTTAATGGTTCCAGGGGAACAAAGCGGGAACATTCGGCCCAACTTCATTACAGAATCATCTGAAACGCTTGAGGAACGTTTCCCACTAATTATCATAAATAGCCGAAAAAAATCTTTCCCTCCCAAAGCAGGTTCCAGCTGCCCCTCTGTGTTTTCTCACCTCCGCTTCCAATAGCCTGACCCTGCCCCTGCACAAAGGGGAGACCCCATCTCCGCTCCCCCCGCACCCGGGGGCTCTAAAGAAATACAAACAGGCAGCAGATTAACAGCACCTTAAACAAACAGGCGACTTCCGACCCTCCAGGCTGTCCCGCTGCCCAGGGGAGGATGCACCGGCTGGTTTTCCTTGCCCCTGCTCTCGTGCCCTGCCCAAATCCTGGATAAAAGCATGGAAAACGCAAGGCATGAGGCAGGTGGACCAAGGATGGGAATGCCAGGGGTGCCAGCCCCGCACCCCCTTGAGACCTGTCCCCCCATGCCTGGGTGTCCTCTCGCTGCCCCAGCTGCCCTGCAGGAGGTCAGGGCTCTGCCCTGGTGGGACATGGCTGCAGCCCTTTGGCAGGAGGGTTGGGAGATGCCAAGGCCAAAGCAGACGAATGAATGTCCCATGAATGTTCAGCTCCTGCCCCGTGCATCTCACAGGGTTTCTGGGCAAGGAGCAGCCTGACACAGCTGGGTGTCATGAGTGGGTGTGGGGTGGGATTCTGCAGGTGAAGGATGGGGAGGGAGAGACAGACCATCCAGAGGACACACGGAGGAGTGGCGCTGGTGTTCAAAACCATCACCACCATCAAGGGGACACAGCAGCAACACTAAGCAATGACTGGCAGCCCACACTCATCTCTGCTGAGCACACTAGGGGATGGATGGGTGCTGGACATGCCTGCCTGGCCGGTCCTTAGGCTGATTGCAGCAGCTGCAGCTGCCTCTGCCAGGGAGCTGCCCCAGCTCTGGTCCTCACCCTGCAGGTCCCATGTCGCCCGTCCCACCTCCCTGCTCTTTAAGACACAGTGCCAAATCAACCCTTTCTCACCCTGCCTGCAGCACACAGAGCAGCCAGCCCCCAGCTCCTCGACCCGACTGGGGCAGGTGGTCATGAGAGACGTGGGGCCACAAACCACAACAGCGGTGGTGAGACGAGCTCCTGGCAGAGCTATGGCACGTGTTTGGGACTGGCAGACGAGGTGGGTGCCCCAGGAGGAAGCCACAGCAGCACGGTTGCAGGCTGGGGCAGGTTCCCAGCAGCAGGTCTTGCCCATCAGAAGCCCAGGTTTGCTCCCCACCCGGGTTTATTGTGCAAATCCCCCCATGCAGGTGTTCGCCGCCCCCCTTCCCACCAGTCACAAGAAAGGGCTGCTGCTCAGAGCCCCCTTCCTGCCCTGGGGGGCACCAGGGACAGGAAGGGGACTGGAGGCAGCTGGCAGGGACAGGCCACCACATGAGCAGCATGGGGGGCTAACAGTGGGGCTGACAGGCAGATCAGTGCCACAGCACAAGCAAAGAGGCTGTGGGAACCACATCTTGTCTGCACGGGGCAAGAAGAGAACCAGTAGCAGCTGTGGGACTCCCAGGCCACACTGGAGATCCCCTGGACCCAGCACCAGCCAAGGACACCCACAGTATCCTGTCTCTGACTCTAACTGGTTAGGAGCAGAGTCTCCTGAGGCTGCTACAAAGACCTTGGGCAGTCAATGGCAACTGGGAAGAGGTTTACCTAGTCACAAGCAGCCTGGAGATGTCACGCAGGGATGCTCACCTTTTTTTTTCCCAATGCAAGAACCAAGGGCATCCCGTGCAAGGAGCAGATAGCAGGGGGTGAGCAAAGGGAGGTGCTGCCTCATTTGGTGCGTGGGAAATCGTGGGCACTCCTCACTACAGGCTGTGGATGCTAAAATCTCACCTGAGTTCAGAGAAACGAGAAAAATTCAGGGATTAAAAAAAGCTCCACAGGTACCCACACTGGCCACGTACCTCCCCTCTGCTCACCATCACAGCAAGGTGCAGCCCCCAGGCAGCAAACCTGGATGCTGGCGTATCCCTGGTGGTGATCCCCCATGCCCTGCCCCATCCCCACGTGTTCTACGTCCAGTGATCAGGAAACCCAAGCCTGTTCCCCCACAGGCTGCCCGGGCACATCGCCCCCAGGTCACCTTGCCTCCCACCCACCTCTCAGCCCCTTCCCTCCTGGGGAACACCAGAGTGAGCCAGGGCAAATGGGAATGGCTGCTAATTCCTCCCAGCCCAGCAGGGCTGCAGCCCTCCGGGGGTCTGCCCCACAGCAATGGAGGGAGCCAACTCCTGCCCGCGAGCCAGCTGCACCAGCCCGGCCCTGGGAACACGGGCGGCTGTATTTTCATTGCAAATTAGAAATCAATCATAGCAGGAAATTCCCGTGCTGAGAACACCCTGGCTATGATTATTTCACAGCACTCGGAGGTGTTCTGGGCACTTAGAAAGATGTGGCCCTTTTCGGGGTATTACAGGGCAAATTAGTTCTCAAGGCGGCTGTAGGAATGTTGGCTGTTGGGTTTCCGGAATGGGACGGGCGCAGGTGGAGGCCATGGGGTTTTGTGCTGCTTTGGGACACACCACCCCTCCGCAGAGAGGCAATCAGCACGCTCCGGAGCCAACACCTCTAGCCTGACCCCAGCTTTATTAATAACAAGTAATTAATATGAGAGCGGACGTGCCTTGTGTCTCCGAAGACCTTTTAAGATGTGATTATGTTGTGCTAATCTCACCCCGAAGTACTTCCCTGTTTAGACTGCGCTGGGCCATTAAATATCTGAAAAGCCAGCGGAGACCCCCCCTCGCCGCCCCGGGAAGTGCTCGGGGTCTGTTCCCCAGCAGCCAGGCCCCCCCCTTTCAAACCCTCTAAATCAAGTATTAAGTTGAGCCCATCTGGACTGCCAGGAAAAACACTCCCTCCCCTCATCTGCGTCTCATTACCCGCCGTGCCAGCCCCGGCCCCGGAGCCGCTCGCTCCATCCCGCCCAGATGTGCTGCCCCACGCTCGCCTCCTGTATTTCACAGCCGTCAGCAGGACTTCAAGGAGCAGCCGAAGGGCCTGTAACACTGCACAGGCTCTTAGCAAAGACATATATCCAGGTCCCTAATGCATAGCCCTTTTCTCCCTCCCTTGGTCTTACGGCAGGCGGGGGAGCTGGGGTGCTCCGGGCTGCCCAGCCAGGTTTCTGAGCAGCTTCCCCGCGGCTCTTTGCCCAGCACATGTCCTGATTTTCAGAGGGTTTTTTCCCCACAGGGACCCTCCAAAGCCAGGAAGCCCCTATGTCCCACGCGTGGGGAAGGGGATCCAAAGGCAGGGTGGGATGGAGCCAGCAGCAGTGGCAGAGGTGAGGAGTTGAAGTCAGACACACCTGCGACTCTGCGGTAATGAGGATGATTAAATTTGGGAGCAGCTCGCCTGGCACAGGGCACAGTCAGCACTGAGCCCAGAGCACAGTAAGGTACTCAAAGACCCAAACCAAGGAACAACCCCTGTGTTCATCAGCTAAAAAAAAAACACCTCCTGGGCTAAAGCTTTCCAGTGAAAGCTTCACCACTTACAGAAAACCCCCCAGATCAGCCACTTGTGTTTAAGTTTGGTGCTTTTCTGGCCTTGGTGGCAGCCCAGGACCACAGAGGTGACGGTGCACATCAAACCTGCATTTACAAGGAGAGTTCTCCCCTTCCTCCCAAGCTCCCCAAGAGCTTTCTACTGCCCATCCTGCAGTCGGGGCTCGGCATCAGGTGAAGTTACGGTATGAGAACCACACAGCCGGCCATGCTCAAACATTACTCTTCCAGAAAGGCCAGGGCAGGCAGCATCACAAAGAGGTTTTGGAGGCACGAGATTAAAGAGGGGGGTGAGAAGCATGTCTCTTGTCTCACTATGCCTCTGCCTGCAAGAGGGTGTGTGCAAACCTGGTCCTACACCAATCCCTGAGGGCCAGCACTGGCTGGGCACCCCATGCTCCAACAAGTAACAGGTATCTCCTGCAGCAGGTCATGGAGAGAAAAGCCCTGGGATGAAAGTCCTCCTCTCACCAGCCCTTGAGTGAATGGCAGAGATGCAGAGGAGGCTTTAATATCAGTAGGGAAGAAAGGGAGAAGAAGGAGAGAGGTCAGGGTGTTACGAGGGACGGACGTACAGGTGCTGGCACATCCCGTAACGCGATGTGGGGAAGAAGCCAGGGTGCAGGGCAGGAGGTCTTGAGATGTCCTTCACCAAGGACCACTTGCAGCCTGCAGGTACCTGCCAGCAATGGGGAGGACATTCAGGCAGGACCCCCAAACTACAAGCAAGAGTGAGCTGTGATCGAGGTCCGGCGAGGTCTCAGCTGGCCGGGAGCAGGGTCTCTGGCATTTTGGTGCAGAGTCTCCAGGGCCACTCAGGGGCCTCTCTGCTCCCGGTGGCCCTGGGCAGATGATGGCAGCCACTGCCTGTGTCGGGATGCCATCTAGCGTCACTTGGCAGAAGGGCCTATCAGGCAGTGACCATGCACAGGCTCCCTAGGCTCACAGCATCTCCAGGGGCCAGCTGGGAGGCACCCCAAAACAGCATGGGTAGTGGGACACCCTCTCCTGGGTGACCGAACCCCACCAATGATGGTCCACACCCCATGACATATGCACCCTGTGACCAGCACGGCTCCAGACCCCCTAGGAGGATGACGGGCATTGGGTAGGTCACGCAGGGGCGATGAAGCTCAAAGCAGTGCCCAGGCTTGCTCAGGGGACCCCGGGGCAGCCAGGGCTTGGAGACTCAGCAGCCTCACCGGTGGCACGGGGTCACCCTGGCAGCGGGTGGCTTGGTGAAGGAGGAGGGTGAGCATCCCCCATAGCAGCGTGCAGGCCACCTGCAGCACCAGCGCGGCCAGGCCCAGGGCCAGGGAGACCTGGCAGTGCCGTGGGCTGGACCACAGGACAAAGCCCCAGGCATGATGGCCACTGGGAGTCAAGGGTGGAGAGGCTGGCCAGGGGCTTGTACAGTCTCTCAGTGGGGGGACAGGAGGCATCGGAAGTGGGATGGTACCTGCAGAGGTGGGAGCTTGTTGGGGAGCAGGCTGGGTGCCAACTGTGGACAAGCTCCACGTGGTGACATGGTCCCGCTCCACACCTGGCGCAGGAGCCCTGTAGGGTGGCCAGAGTGCTGTGGCTGAGGCTGAGACAAGGGAGATGCTGGGTGTCACCCCTGGGGCAGCATCTGGCCTCTCTGTGAGTGCCATAAGAGCAGGAGGCACTTGTCTGGTGCTGGCTGCCAGTGTGCTGCCTGGCACTGGTGTGGTGGCAGAAGCTAGAGTGGACAATGCAGGCTCTGAGCTGGTGGTCCCAGGAGGCTGTAGACTTATGATGGCTGAGGTTGGACACAAGCTGAAGGCCTCCTGTGGCACATCTGGCAATGGGGTGTTGATGGAAGCCTTGGGCAGTACAGTTGTTGATGGGGTGGTGATGGAGGCTTCAGGTGGAACAGCTGGTGATGGAGTGGTGATGGAGGTCTTGGGCAGCACAACTGGTGATGGAGTGGTGATGGAAGCCTTGGGCAGCATGGTTGATGATGGGGTGGTAATGGAGGCCTTGGGCAGCACAGTTGGTGATGGGGTGGTGATGGAAGCCTTGGGCAACACGGTTGATGACGAGGTGGTGATGTAGGTCTCAGGCAGCATAGTCAGTGATGGTGTGGTGATGGAGGTCTCGGGCAGCACAGCTGGTGATGGTGTGGTGATGGAGGCCTCAGGCAGCACAGCTGTTGATGGGGTGGTGATGAAAGCCTTGGGCAACATGGTTGATGTTGTGGTGAAGGTCTTGGGTGGCACAGCTGATGATGGGGTAGTGAGGAAAGTCTTAGATGGCATGGCTGATGATGGAGCAGTGAAGAAGGCCTTCACTGGCATGGTGGGGAACATGGCAGAGGTGGCCACAGGTGACAGCATGGCTGGCGGTGCCATGATGGGAAAAGCTGCCAATGACAGTGTGGTTGGTGCTGCAGCGGACAAGGCTCCAGGTGACAGCGAGGCTGACATCCTTTGTGGTGGCGTGGAAGCAAATGGCAGAGATGAGGTAAAAGCAGCTGAAAGAGGAAGAGTAACTGGGCAAATTAAGTGGTCATCCTTCAGTGATGTCACTGCTCGCCCTGACAGGTGGGGTGGACTCTTGCATGACACTTGGGTGGACAATTTAACTTTCTCACTGTTCCCCAGAATCCAGCTGTGCAGGTAGCAGAGATTGCAGTCACATCTCCACGGGTTCCCACTCAGATACACTGAGCTGAGCTTCTTCAGGGGGTCCAGGAGCCCTCGGGGGACACTCTCCAGCTGGTTCTTCCGAAGGTTGAGGGTTTTCAGATTTGGAAGAGAAGCAAAGACGTCACCATCCAGAGCAGAGACCTGATTTGTGTCTAGCTGGAGATCTGAAAGCTTGCTGAGCCCAGCGAAGGCTCCTCTTGGCAGGGTTGCTAGCTGGTTGTGGGACAAGACGAGTTTTCCAAGAGATGTGAGGTTGACAAAGATGCCATCCGGAAGTGTAGCCAAACTGTTCCTGCTCAGGTCCAGCTCACGCAGCTGCGGCATGGCGTCAAAAAGGCAGCAGGGGAGCTCTGTAATGTTGTTTGAATCCAGAGTCAGCAGCTTCAATTTGTTTAAACCAAAAAATCCCTGGAGTGGGAGAGCCCCGATGAGGTTGTTGTCCAAGAGGAGTTTCTCCAGGTGAGGCAGGCTCCTCAGAAGCATGGGTGGCAGCGCCTTGAGCCTGTTCCTCTGGAGACTGAGCTCCAACAGACCTGGCTGACCATCTAACAGCTCCTCTGGGAGGTCCTGTAGCTCATTCTCATATAGCCGGAGGACTTGCAGACGGGGGAGTTTGCTAAAGGCATCCCCAGGAAGAGCTGTGATCCTGTTTCTAGCCAGGTCCAAAAACGTTAGATTGATGAGAGAATCAAAAACGCCATCTGGAAGAGAAGGGATTGCATTGATATGCAGGGAGAGCTCTCCCAAGTTCTCCAGCCCATCAAACAGGCCTTTAGGGATATGTTTGAGGTGGCTGTCCCTCAGCTCCAGCCTCTGCAAGCTTGGGAGGTTTTGGAAGGTACCCACAGCTAGTTCCTCTAATAAGGCACCAGAGATCTCCAAGTCCCTCAGCTTCTCCAAACTGTCAAAGGCCCCAGGTTCAACTGTCTTGATCTTGTTGCCAATAAATAAAATCTTGATCAGGTTGGGCATGTACCTGAAGGCACCTTTCTTTATAGCAGTGATGCTGGTTTGCACGAAGATCATCTCAGAAATGAAGGGCTTTGCAATCTTTGGGATCTCTGTGATGTCATTTTTTGTCCCTCTGTAGACCTCCTGGTAGTCTTTGGGCATTTCATAAGGATCTTCACCTGGGATTTGATCTTGGCATTTATAGTGATAAAAGGAGAGGCAGAAAAGGAGAAAGAAATGCCGGTACATTGTCCTGAAAAAAAGGTTTCAAAAATCAGTTATGAAGAACAGAAAAATCTCTGTCCACAGCTCCTGAACTGTGGTACCACACTTCATTCATCTTTCAAGACTCTTCTATTCACATACCACAACTCATTTTATGAGAAAAAGGGAGACTATCCAAGCCAGCGTACGCTGCACTTACAGGAGTTCACTGCCATTGGTACCGAGGGATGGAGAGGAAGGGAGAGCGACCCAGCTCACGGCTTGGCACTGGCAGACACTCCAGGAGGGGCAAGGGCTAGACAGTCTGTTCTCTGGCCCTCCTTGTCCCACATTTGGGCTGCAGGCTTGGCAACTGTCAGGGTGAAGAAGGCAAAGCGCTGCTCCCATTAGCGCTGCCCCAGTGGGTCCAGCAACAGCCCATTCATCCAACAACAGAAGCAATTCAGCCCTGCGTTTGCTAATGAGGGATCAGCAAGGGACCCAGGAGCCAGCCAAGACCAGGTGACCTTGTTTATTCAAAAATTCCACACTGTGTTGGATGGACTTGCTATTTCACTCAGTTCAGGAGAGTTATTTAAAACATTACTTCTAAGCATCTCCTTTTTGGGATTCTTCCTGACCACATCATATTTTGGCCTTAGTTATGCAGCTTTTTCAGATACAAATGGTTGAGCAGCAGCCAAGCTTTAGGGCGAGGCTCATTAAAAGTCTATGAGATGTCCACAGATTAGCTGTTTAATACCTAACATTTAGGGCTGCGACCTGCAGTTAGGAGGTGAAGTCACTGACACCCACCCACCAGCAGCCCACCACTTCCATCGAGCCATTTGGAAACACCCCGCTAACACATCAGTTGGGGTTTAACATCTGTGAGCATCGCACCAGGACAGCAGTTTCCAGCTTGTGATTCACAGCCCTGGGTGGGAGCAGGGGAAAGAAGGGCTGTGGGTTGCTTCTTGGGTGGCCATCACATCTGACCACTCAAAAAACTTAGGCTGGGAGGGTAAACTTGCTATGAAAAGTTAATTCCTGAAAAATGTTGAGAGGTCAGCAAATAGAGGAGGCCAAAAGCTACTGGGTTTGAAGAGAAACTGATGGGACGTGAGGTATGTGCCAGCTGCTCCCTGGGGCTCCCCAGGGCAGAAGCTGCTGCTGATCCCTGAGGGTGCAAACATGCCTCCTTCACTTCAGCTGCAGGGGCAGTGCAATGGGTTAAAGGCAGTGGTGGGAACAGCCAGACTGACTGCAGAGGGATGAAAATAAACAGTTTTGAACTGCAAAGCTTTTTTTAAAACCCTCCCTCACGCCGTCTGACTGCAGCAGACCTCAGTGTGGTCCCCTGTTTGTCCCACCCTCCAGGAGCACAGGGACACAGAGGCACAGCCCCAGATCACGGCGCTACAGCCTCTCGTGCTCCTTGCTGCAAGGAAACGATCAACAGCTCCCCAGAGCCATCCCTCCCTGCACGTTTTAAAGAGCAAAAAAAGCATTTTGCATCACTTACTTGGCCGAGCACTTGCGAAGGAGTCCAGCCACCGGAGTGAGCCACACCAGGCGAGGAGCGAGGTCACCAGACTGGGGTCCCATCACCTGGCCAGCTCTTTATCCACGGCCCAGGCACAGGGCTTGGTTTCATGGGAGGTCAGGGGGCAGGTCTGCACGGGGAGATAAGGGACAGCTGGGGAGCAGGCAGAGGAGCGGTGCCCCAGCGTGGGGGCTGTTGCAGAAACCCCTCGGGGAGGATGCAGGCACGTGCTCCCTAGGTGTTATCTGCTGGCACCACTCAACTAGTCACATCCAGGGAAACCTGAAGATCTCCAGGGCCAGCCTGTTTTGTAGCTGATGGTCTCTGCAGCCCCGTATCTCCACCAGCATAACCCACCAGCTTCACAGACACCACCCCCACCAACACAACAGAAAGGAGTTTCCTATTTAAAGCTTTTCCTATTAAAAATATCCAGCTGTTTCCTTCCTCAGGAATTGGCTGATGTAGCTAAAGGTGCTGCTCTGAAGCCATTTGTTTAAGCTCATAATGGATGTCATCTGTGGCTGGACAGATATGCTGACACCTGGGTCTGGGCTCAGCCCCACAGCCCCACACCTCGCCGGCCATGGGGCTGGGGCTGCGTTGTACCACCCGAGCACAAGCCAAAGACCCTCCTGCAGGGAAACCCAGGGCTCCTGGATGGTGCAGGGTGTCTCGTGGGAAGAAAACACCCTGTTTGATTCAAATACTTAAAATGACAAGGCTTCATCGCTTCCCACTGGATAACTGTGCTAATCGCATTTCTTCTTTGTTTTTCACCTGCTGTTACTAAGGTTCAGCTTGGGCTCCTGGGCTTTCCTGGTAAACTAAGACACACTCCAAACTATTGCACATTTTCAACAGCCTTACCCTTTTCCAGTGTCAATCCTGTATGCATCCAGGTCCCCACTCGGTGCCAGGCTTCTCCAGAGGGTGCAGGGTGGCAGGAGCCAGGGGGAACAGGGGGGTGGATCTTGCAGCAGGAGTGACACCAGCCTCCCCAGGCCTTGGACCCTGTGGTGTGGCAGCTGTGCCAGGGCTTGTGAAGCTGCAGCCAGCCCCAGCATCCCTGCTCCAGGCTTGGGGCTGGCCACACCAACATCACCTGGGAGGTGGCCACAGCAGGGTGGCAGTCCCGTGTGCGGGGCAGGCAGCAGATTGCCCGTGCAGGGTGGTGTTTGGGGGTGCAGCATGGCCCTCCTGCCTCCTGGGAGCGTGGGGCCGGCATCCAGGGCACGGCTAACACAACACAGAGCCTCCACTTTGCTCGCAGCCTCCGGCTGGGCAGCAGCGGGCAAGGGGCTGGCAGAGCCCACAGCCCGGCTGCCAAAGGGGCAGGCAGGGCCGGGCAGGCTGGCCCGGAGGTGGCCAGGGGCAGGCAGGGCTCTCCCGGCTCCCTTTAGCCCGGCTCGGCCCCTGTCGCAGCGGCCGCAAGATGGTGCAGCAGCACCGCACGGCAGCGCCGCAGCCCAGGGGCGTGCACCGGCACACGCACGGGCGTGCTGCTCACACCCACGTGTGCGGGCACCCACGCACTCACGCACACACGTGCACGCCCCCCACGCACTCACACATCTGTGCACCCGCACATGCTTCCACCCACGCACTCACACATGCAGGCACCCACGTGTACACGCGCTCACCCCCACGCACGCGTGTGTGTGTCCCCACGCTCACTTTCTTAGGGCACCACTCACCATCACCCGCTGTCCCCTGGGTGTGGATCACCCTCCATACCTGCTGTCCCCTGGGCTGGCAGCCCTGCTGGGACTTTGTGCCCCATCTCCATGGTCCCCGGGGGCTGCGGAGGGGCTGCAAGCCCAGCTGTGCCAGGGTGGTTGGGGGGCTGGAGCCCACCCTGCAGCCAGGCAGCCCATCCCCTCGCTGGGCCATGGCAGCACTCACCCATATCTCCGTGAAGTGCCCCACAGCACAGCCCTGCCCCAGGGGCTGGTGCCAGGCTGCAGCCATGTCTCCCCAAGGAAAGAGGTGAGGCTGGAGAGCTGCAATGGGCAGAGATGACCACACCAGAGAGCAGCACCTACTCACCACCGGGCACCTGCATCCATGGGACACCACGCACAGCCCCAGCCTGGTCCCCGCTGGACCACAGCGACCTTCACTTCCCCCCAGATAGTGCAGGGGAAGTGTTTCCTCTCTCCGTCATGGGAACTGGTTGCACAAAAATAATATATACATTTTAATGACATTTGAAATACACAGGAAAAGCACAGCTGCAGGAATAAATACCACCAGGCCACCTCTGGCGGAAAGCTCGGTGGCAGCTGGTGACCACGGCAGGGGTAACAGAACAAGATAAGGTGCTGGTTCCCAGGCTGGTTTGGAGGTGGCCAAAACAATAGCAGAGCCAAAGCAGCACCTGCCCGATCCCTAGGGCTCAGCAGGGAGACCTGGTGAGGTTTCATCCTCACTCCGTGCGGTGATGAGGACACTGACCTGCAGCGTGCCGCAGCGGGAGCGCAGCACCCAGGCACCCTGGTACGCCAGCTGGCCTGGTACACCAGGAGGAGGAGGAGAAGGAGGAGGGAGACGAAGGCTGAGCTGCTGGCAGCTCGTGGCATCGCAGGCCATGTTTATGGTGCCCTCGGAGTTGCTGTAGGTGCACCGTTCCGGAGCATCCTCCCTTGGCTCCCTGTCCAAGCCCTCCTCTGGGGGTACGCCAGACACTCCTGGGCACTTCAGCTGTCTCTGGGGGACTTCTAGCAGGGACCGTCCCCGGAGAGCAGCGGGGCTGACACAGAAGGCTTGTGCATGGGTGAGGGGCTCAGCAAAGCCCTGGAGCCAACCCAGGAGGTAGGTGAGGTGGCAGTCACAGGCCCAGGGGTTGTAGGCCAGTCCCAGGCGTGCCAGATCCCCGTTGGCATCAAAAAGCCCCTGGGGCAAGCGGGCCAGGCGGTTGTGGTCCAGCTGCAGGGCAGTGAGGAGGGGCAGCCCGGCCAGCAGCCCAGCCGGCAGTCTGGAGAGGTTGTTGTGGCTCAGCTGCAGCTCCACCAGCCCCACCAGCCCCTGGAAAATCCCGGCGGGGAGGTGGGCCATGGCGTTGTGTGAGAGCACCAGGGTCTGCAGCGCCGAGAGGTTGGCAAAGAGCCCCTGGGGCAGTGTCTCCAGCTGGTTGCGGGCCAGCGAGAGGTGGAGGAGGCCAGGGGTGCCGGCAAAGAGGGTGGCAGCTAAGGTGGCCAGGCGGTTGCCCTCCAGGCTGATGACGGTGAGGTTGGGGAGACCGGCAAAGATGTCGGGGGCCAGGCTGCCCAGCGCGTTGTGCTGCAGCTGCAGCCGCCGCAGCCCCCCCAGCCCAGTGAAGACACCGTCCGGCAGCTCCTCCAGCCGGTTACCGTCCAGGTGGAGCTCGGCCAGCTGGCCCAGTGCCCTGAAAGCACCGGGGGGCACCCACGCCAGCAGGTTGTCGCTGAGCTTGAGGAGGCGGAGGGTGGTGAGGGGGGCCAGCAGCCTCTCTGGCAGCTCAGCCAAGACATTCTGGGAGAGGTCCAGAGTCTGGAGGTGCCCGAGCGGGTAGAAGATGCCGATGGGCAGTGCCTCGATCTTGTTCCCTGACAAGCGCAGGTCCTGCAGGTGGCAGACAGGGGTGAAGAGCCCCGGCTGCAGGGAGCGGAAGGCGTTGGCAGCCAGGGAGAGCTTGCTGAGGCTGGGCAGCCCCATCAGCATCCCCGGGCTGACTGTTGGCAAGGGGTTGCCTGACACCTCCAGCTCGGTGAGGCTGGGCAGACCCTGAAAGGCACCAGCCTCCAGCTCCTGGATGTTGTTGTTGAGGAAGACCAGCTTGGTGAGGGTGGTGCTGGAGCCCAGGGCCCCACTGCGGACGCTGCTCAGGGCCGTCTCCACGAAGAAGAGCTGGGTGGCATTCCCTGGCAGGCCCGCCGGGATCTCCCGCATCCTCTCCTCTGAGCAGAAGACTTTGGAGGTGTCGTAGCATTGGCAGGCAGGGGGGCAGGACAGGGATAGCCCCTCCACCAGCAGGCACCCCAGCTCCAGCAGCACGTAGACAACCAGCCTGCACTGGAGAAGGAGCCGAGCCTCATACCCTGCCTCGGCAGGGCAGAAGTTGGCACCCACAGGTGGGTGCTGCTGGGGAAGTGGCTTTTGCAGCCAGAAACACAGGGGAACAACCCCTGGGGCACTGCCAGTGCCAGCAGTTGCCCCAGCCATGGGGCATCCCTCCAGCCCCAGCCCCACACATCACCCCAGTGCTCCCGCTGAGGGAAATGGGAGTACTTTACTCCCAAATCTCTCCTCACCTGCTCCATACAGTGGGTCAGGGCTCTTCCCCTGCACCCCAGGCCTGCTCCAGCCTGTCCTGTGACAACCAAGGTGATGCCACCCTTGTGGACAGTCCCCACATCCTGCAGAGCAGCGAATGAGGTGGAAGCTGTGGGATCCCATGGGGCTGTCAGGGGAATAGGGTCTCAGGAGATGTCCCCATGGGCACAGATCTGGCTGCTGGGGCAGGAGAAGGTGTGAAGCAAGGGGATGTGCTGCACACACAGGGTGGTGGGGACAACACCACAGGGCTGCTCTGCGCTCAGTGACAAAAGGAGCAGGCTCCACTGGTGACATTTCTAATTGCCCATCAAGTACTTTGTTCTCTGCGAGCAACCAGAGCAGCATCAAAAAGGGATATTTGGCTTGACCTGTTCAGCCTGTTCCCAGTCTGGGAACAGGAAGGCACTTTTTGAACACCTGAGCAAAGCAGTGGCCTCCAGACCTCTACTGGTCCCTCCCTGCTTGGGACATGGAATCACGGAATTGTCAGAGTTGGAAGGGACCTCTAGAGATCGTCTGATCCAACTCCCCTGCCAAAGCAGGAATGCCTAGAGCACATTACTCAGGACTGCATCCAGGCGGGTCTTGAAGATCTCCAGAGAAGGGGACTCCACGACCCCCCTGGGCAGCCTGTTCCAGGGCTCCGTCACCCTCACCGTAAAGAAATTTTTTCTCATATTTGAATGGAACTTTCTATGTTCCAGCTTGAGCGTGTTGCCCCTTGTCCTACCGCTGGAAACCACTGAAAAGAGTCCAGCTCCAACATCCTTCAACTCACCCTTTAGATACTTATAAACATAAATAAGGTCTCCCCTCAGTCTTCGCTTGTCCAGGCTAAAGAGTCCCAACTCCTTGAGCCTTTCCTCATAAGGGAGGTGCTCCAATCCCTTAATCATCTTTGTTGCCCTATGCTGGACTCTCTCCAGTAGTTCCCTGTCCCTCTTGAACTGGGGGCCCAGAACTGGACGCATGCCAGTGATGCCAGGTAATGGGGGATGCTATGTGCCCCACAGCGATGCCCACCTGCAGAGCTGGGGATATCCCAGCCTTACATCAGCGCTCCAGAGCAGCATTGGGCTTGGCCTTTTCTTTCCACCATCTCACTTCTTGTCACACAGACCCAACAGCAGCTCCCACCCATCCCAGTCCCCCACCCTACCCCCAAGCCACCCAAGCAGTGTGGCTGCCACTTACCGAGCTTGGCATCACTGGGAACATCACCAAACCTGCAGCAGGTTTGCAGGGACACCGCTCGCCGAGATGGGACGATGTTTTCTGGGGCGGATGGGAAGGCGGGCGAGGAGCCGTTCCTGCTGGGGCGGAGCTGCCCCTTGCTGCTTATCGGGAACAGCAACCCGTGTCCTTGGAGCACTTCGAAAAATAGCCCGACCCCAGAGGGCTGGGGGTGAGGCCAGAGGCAGCCGCCAGCGAGCATCCTGGCAGGGAAGTGGGGTCCTGGCCCCGGATGTCCACTGGCCCAGGGACAGTGGCAGGGAGCTCTTGTCACCAACGTCAGCATCTTTGCTTGCAGCAGCCCTCCAAGAGCTCCCCTAGACTTCATTAAATCTCAGTGGGGAATGGGGCCAGCAAACATCCCTTGCATGAGAAAGGGGACCGGGCATAGCTTAGCAAGGCAAAGCAATGCCATGAGGAGGAGACCACACTGGGACCATCATGTTGAGATGTACCAGGTGCTTTGTTGCCTGGGACATATACCCAGCCAGCGGCAGGATGGCCAGAAGGACCCGTGGACCAGCTGGACTCCCCAGGGTCTTGCTACCTGCCTGTGGGAGCTGCATATGCCACTTTAAGGGCCCGTGTTGGAACAATCTAGGGTGGCAGTGGCCATAGAGGCACCCCCAGAGGCAAGAGGAGAACACGTGTGTGTGCATTCAGCCAGACCGATGGAGCAGACAGTGACACACAAAGAACTTAGCTGACACAAGCCAGCAGCAGCCAGCTCTGAAGGGAGACATGTGAGCTGCCCCCCACCCCAGGCTGGTGCTGGGTAAACCCTCATGTGTCCTCACCCACCATGGCTTCCTGTGCAGTCCTTCTTCCTGGCGCCTGTCTTGAGAAGTTTGCTGGGGTCTCAGCTCACTTTCCAGAAACCATCCTGCTGCTGTTGGACAGCCAAGCCCCTTTTAGGTCCCTCACCTCAGGTTGGAGACCAGGGACCACCATGGGCTCTGGGACTACAGCCCACTAACCCTCTCCCAGCTCCACCAGCCCACGGGGGCTTTTCCTCAACATGAAAAAATCTCTCAGCAGAGGAAATCAAGCACAGCTCCTGTCCCTGCTGGGTTATTCCCCAGCTGCATACCACAGAGGAGCAAACACACAAGCTCTTGGCACTGGACAACTGCACTTTAATGGAGAGATCACAGAGCAGCACCTAACAGACCCATGGCACGGTCCCGCATCTCCCAATGCTGTGCATGTCCCAGCCCAGAGGAACATCCCGTCATGTGCACGAGCGTGGGGCTGCTTGTGCCTGTGTTGGCTCATAGGGTGCCATGAGCAGCCAGCACCATGGGGTGCACATCAAGTGCGACGCTTGTCCCGTGGCAGTGATTCCCAGGCAGCCTGGCACCGCTGTACCATGTGTAGAGGTGAGGTGGACTCTTCCATAGGCATACCATGGCGTGCACCACCAGCAATCCCCCTGCCTGAGGGCTGCAAGCAGGCAGCAGGACTGGGCACATAGAGTGGGAAACTTGGGGTGGGAAGAGGAAAGGATGTAGCTTTGCCAGGCAAAGCAGGGCCAGGCTGCTCATGGGCCAGCAGGGTACCCACAAGTGTGTTGAGGCAGAGAGGGCCAGAGATGGGGGGCAGCAGGAGTGGTCCCATAAGGCAGCAGCCCCAAGGATGCTTCAGCAGCCCTAGGGTACAAGCGCAGGAGCCTCTCCCAGCCCTTGGCAAATAGCCCTCGCAGGAGAAAGGGCATTTGCAACGTGCCCCTGGGGAAGAGGCACAGCCAGGCAGCAGGTCCACGCTTCCCACCCATCACCCCACCTCTATAATTCCCCCACGGCAGCACCCATGCAAGCTTCCCCGTCACCCACCCATCTAAGACAGGGTGCTGCAGGCAGGGACATGGCCACAGGAGGGTGAGCACCAGCGTGAGGGGAGCAGGAGGCTGCTTGGGGTGAGGGAAGGCGCTGGCAGTGCCTGCAGGCAGGGAGGGTTATGGCTTGGATGCAGCCGCGTCACCCGGGGTGTGCCACCCCAAAAGCAGCACCCGGCCCGGGCAGCCCAGCCCCGCGGGGATGTTCCTGCCCAGACGCAGCCAAGCTACAAAGCAGGACAAGGACATGGGGATCTGCTTGGGGCAAAGGTGTGTGCTCAGCTCCTGGGCCTGCGTGAGGGTGAGCACCCGCCTGCGCGGGCTGGGCCTGAAGGCATGGAGGAGGGAAAGATGGGGAGAGGGTCTGGGGAAGGGCAGCAGGCAGTGCTGGAGGGGAGGATGTGGGGTGAAGGATGGGGAAGTCCTGTTGTTTGGGGTAAGCACCATCATGGCCAGAACGTGGCTCCTTGCTCGAGGGGTCCCTCTCAGCACCCCGGCTGCTGCCCCCAGGCAGGGAATGAGCACAAGAGGCTACGCTGGAGGCAGGAGGGGTTGGGGACAGAGGGCAGCTGTGGGGGGTCACCCGGGGGGACACCCTGCTGTGGAGCAGGGGCAGGGCAAAGCAGAGCAGGACAGGGGGACGCGCAGCACACAGGGTGATGCTGGTCTGTCCAAATCAGCGAAGGCAGCTGACACAGAGCTGCCATCCTGTCCCTCAGCCCCATGGGGAGGGGACACCCCACCAGCACTGCTCCCCCCAGGGTCTGCCGGGCACTCAGGCTTCATTAGGTGCCTTCATCCTCATGAGCACGACATGGCTCTTCTTTCTACAGCCATAGACCACCAATGCCACGAGAGCAGCGAGCAGGGCCACGCACACCAGCACGATGACAGCCACCACCACCCCTCTCTGCATGCGCGTCAGACCCCACCGGCCCCTCTCCTCCTCCTCCTCTTCCTCCTCCTCCTGGGGGGAAACGGGCAGCCCCATGGGGGCCTCCGTCCAGGCACCCTCTGGCAATGCCACCTCAGAGGAGTGATCGGGAAGCGGGGTGCTGGGATGGGGGGAGGCAGTGGGGGACCCCGGGGAGAGGAGCTGGTCCTGCGTCAACCCAGCGATGGGGATGCCCTGCAGGGCAGGGGGCTGGGCGCAGAGCGGGGGTATCTCGCCCACCTTGTGGGGGTTGTTCTCCAGCCATCCCCGCAGGGGCAGGATGCCCTCGTCGCAGCGCCAGGAGTTGTTGTGCAGCTTCACCTCCCGCAGGGTGGCCAGCGGGGAGAAGATGCCAGCGGGCAGGTACTCCAGGGCGTTGGCATGCAGCTGAACGTGCCGCAGCCCCGGGGTGGCCCTGAAGAGGCCCCGTGGCAGCATCTGTAGCTGGTTGTGGTGCAGGGAGATGTTCTGCAGCTTGGGCAGCCCCTCCAGCACCTGGGTGTCCAGGCGATGCAGGGCGTTGGAGTGCAGCGACAGCTCCAGCAGCTCCCCCAGGCCCCGGAAAGCTCCCGGTGCCAAAGAGCGCAGCCGGTTCTTGCTGAGGACCAGGAGCTGCAGCTGGGTGAGGTTGCTGAAGACGGCGGTGGGGAGGGTGGAAAGCTCGTTGTCATAGAGCCACAGCTCCCGCAGGTTAGGTGTGGGCCCGAAGGCGCCGGGGGAGATGTCCCGTAGGCGGTTGACGTGCAGGGTGATCTTGGCGAGGGCATGCAGGGGCAAGAAGATGCCACTTGGCAGGGTGGCAAGGAGGTTGTTGGAGAGGTAGAGTTTCTGCAGGTTCCCGTTGTGCACGAAGAGCTCTGGGGACAGTGTCTCCAACTGGTTCTGGTGCAGCCCCAGCTCCTGCAGCTCTGGCAGCCCATCGAAGGCTCCCGCCGGGATCTGCCGGAGCCGGTTCTCATAGAGCCGCAGCACCTGCAGCCGCGCCAGCCGCTCGAAGGCTCGGGGCGGCAGGCGGTCGATGTTGTTCCTGGCCAGGTTGAGCTTGGTGAGGCTGGTGAGCTGGTCAAACACCCCCTCCTTCAGCTCCTGCAGGTTATTCCCGTGCAGCTGCAGCTCCTTGAGGTTGCTCAGGTGGGCGAAGTGGGAAGGCTCGACCTGGAGGATCTGGTTGCTGGAGAGAAGCAGTGACTCCAGCTTGTCCAGGGGCTCGAAGACCTGCACAGGGAGCTCCTGCAGCTTGTTGCTGGCCAGGCTGAGGTAGCGCAGGTCGGGCAGGTGCTGGAAGGCCCCGGGGCTGATGCGCGACAGGTTGTTCTTCTCGATGCGCAGCCCGATCAGCAGGGAGGCGTTGCCAAAGGACGCGTCGCCCAGCTCGGTGATGCGCGTGTTGATGATCTGGAGGGTCATGGCATTCTCAGGGATGGGGCTGGGGACCGCGGTGATCCTGGCACCGGAGCACTCCACCTGGGCGGTGCGGGCGCACTGGCACTGCTCTGGGCACTGGCCACGGGCCAGCTGGATGCCCACCAGCAGCAGCAGCCACCGCCACCAGCCTCTCCGCTCCATTGGACCTGCAACGTAAGCAAAAGAGGGGGGTTCAGTCCCTGTGATTTCCCAGCCCCCCAAGGCCACTGCCGGTGATGTATACTGCTTTCTCCCTGGAAAAGGCCACCGAGTGTGGCCACACTCCTGCCCCCAGCACGGCAGAGGAGGGCAGGCAAGGAAGGCTGGGGACAGGCAGGGCTGGGCACAGCCCAGGCGGGAGCACGGAGCGGGACAGAGCCGGGGGCTGCGGCGCCTGGCTGCCATACCACAGCTATTAGTGGCATCCCTGGCGTCCCCCCCGCTCGGCCCCTCCAGCAGCCAGGAGCGTGGTGGTTTCCTGTTTTGCAGTGAGCGTGGCAAGCTGTTGCCAGTGGCACTGGCCTCCCAGCACCACCAAACAGCCATTAATGGGATCCAGCCCGCAGCACCCACCACTCAGCAGGTCCTGGGGATGCTGGGAAGAGGGTACTCTCCCCCCGCACCTCTGAGCACCCTCCTAGCTCTGCCCAGCAGCAAGAGCCCCTGTCACAGAGCCAAGAGCAGCGCTGGCACTCACTGCCCGGGTGTGCATTAACTCCAATCCCACTGGAGCACGGGGCAGCTGGACCCTCTGCCAGCTCCCCAGCCCATGCCAGGTACCGGGATGGCCCTGTCTGCCCCCCATCCCTAGCAGAAGGTCTCAGCCCTGGCTGACTTTGGCCACGAGAGCAGGACATTCAGTGCAGGTACCCATGTGCAGGGTGATCCTGGGGGCATTGTCCAGGGGAGTCCTGGAGCCCAAAGGGAGGGAGAGCTTTACAGCAAGGTCCTCCATCACTCCACAAGCACATACACCCTCTCCTCCCTCCTCTGGCCGGGGAGTTTTCCCCTCTCTGTAGATCAAAGCAGCAGCCTCATGCCAGGCTGGCACAGAGCAGCCACCCACTAAAAACTTTGAGCAGCACAAGGTAGGGAGAAAACCCGTGGCTCCCCCTGGCCCCAAGCACAGCTCAGCAGACAGACAAGTCTTGCAGCACAGGGGTCTGGGCATGGCATCCTGGCTGGCACAGCACCCTGGGGTGCTGGGGCACAGCCCCTGCCCTCCACCCCGGGCTCCCTCCAGGGAACGCGCTTGCTCTCCGGCGGGGAGGGAGGAACCCTCCACAAGCCAGCGCAGTTTATGTTTTCCATATGGAAACAATCTGCATCCAAGAACAGCTTTGTTTATAGCAAGCCATTTATAAACTTCCCCAAATGCTCTGCACATCAAAAGCCCTGCTCCTGTCACTCCCTGGTAAGGCAGCTGAGAGCGCATCCAAGCTGGAGCGCCCTTCAGGAAAGGCAGCTGGAACCAATTTATCTCCTTTTTTCTTCTAGGGACAAAACACTTACAGAACAAGAGGCTGAATATTCCCTATTGCTCAGCCCCTCATCCCACTGCTCTAACCCTCAGCCCCCCTAAATGTTACTTTGCCCCCCTTGATTTTCTTTATAGGTTATTATTTAAGATACATTGCCTATGTAACTATTTTAGCTCCCGCAATGCCAAAGTGGGCTCACTTAGTTGGAGAGCCCTTGCAAGGCAAACATCTCCATCAAATCAAAAGATGCTCAACACACAGATCCTGCCACCACCCCCCAGAGCTGCCCCCAGAGCTGCCCCCAGCCGCTCGCAGGGGCAGTAGCAGAGAGGAGACTTACCCAAGTGTCCTGCAGCCACGAGCACTGAGCGAGCACAGCTCCGTGCTGGCAAGAGAGCCGAGTGTGGTTCATGCTTCCCCTCCCAGTATATAACCCGTCCAAATCAATGAATCAGCACAGGGGCAGCGGCGGGGTTAGGGAAAGCGCTGGAGCAGAGCTGCTTCCAATTCCGATTTCCTCGGCAAACAGAGGGAGCGTCTCAAGGATGGAGGTTTGGGTTTCCCTCTCCCGAACCCCAGTGCTCTTGTCTGAAGACAAGCAGATGCCCCCACAAACAGGCTGCTCACGTCAGCCATTGTCTGGGTACCAGCTCTGCCCTGGGACCCCCGTGGTCCCCCCGTGGGACACAGCTGGCTGCCCCAACCCATGGGATCAGGCAAGGCAAAGCCAAGCCCCTGGGCATGATCCTGCCCTTCGATGTCACACATTCCCACTGGGACTACTCCACAGCATCGCCTCGGCACACACATGGCACTTGCCTCCCCGGGTACAGCCCCTGCAAGCGTCAGGACCTCTGGCCGTGCCCCCAGCCCAGGGCTGGCAGCCCCCCAGCACGCTGACTCTGCCCAGGGTCCCAGCACTCGTTCATGCCCATCCCCCCTCCCCCCCAACAGGAGATGCAAACTGGCCAGGCACCTGCAAGCACCAGCTCTGAGGGTGCTGGAGGTGTCACGGCGCGGCCACCAAGCAGGGATTAGTGTTGCTGCAGGTGCCAGCCAGAGGCCAGGCTGTTTCAGAGAGCCCTGGGCAAGCCGGAGCGTCTCCCACCAGCACTGCCTGTGCACTGAGAAATGCCCCCCATGCCGATGGCAGGCAGCCTCGCAGCCCCAAAATGTCACATGCTGCCATCTCCCAGGGGCTGCGGTGCAGCCTGAACACTGCTCTTCATCCTCAGCAGCCCTGACACCCGGGTGATGGAGCCCAGCACGCAGGGGTGTTTGAGAATCGGGGCGAAAGCCCATCCCATCCACTTGTTCAGCGTGCCTGCTGCCCCCCTGCCCTGCCCCCTCCGGCTCACAAGGGTGCACGGGGGTGCCCTTGGTCCCTACCACCCAGCCCGGGTCCCCCCACCTTTGCCCACCTCTTCTGGGCAGCCCTGGTCCAGCAGCCACCGGGAACGGATATTGGGAAGGAAGCAGCTAAGGAGCGCTGACGTGCGTGGCCCCTTTGGGCTTCCTGGAGCCAGAGCAGCCCCGTGCTAACCACGGGGCAGCTGGAACTTCCCTGATCACGTCTAATCCTGTCTCAGCCCACCCATGTTTCCGCCAGCCACAGCAGCCCCTGCTCAGGTCCCAGCCAGCGCTAATGAGCTGCTGGAGATGGGACCAGGAGGGGGCTGCTGCCGGAGAGGGGTGAGGAAGGCCGGCTCCATCCCCATGCCGCAGCGTGTCCTGCCATGCCCAGAGGGGTGGGAGGGCGAGGGCTCTGTGGGGGGACAGGGACCCTGTTCAAAGCAGAGATCGAACCAGGATAAACAACGAGGGAGGTGGGGGGACAGGGACCCTGTTCAAAGCAGAGATCGAACCAGGATAAACAACAAAGCGCGGGGACAGGGAGGGGAGTTTCCAGCCAGACTCAGAAAAGGCAACAGGGATCGTGGGAAGAGCGTAGGGAGCGGGACCTCAGCTGGAGGCAACTGCCACCAAGATGTCACACTGCACGGCAGGCCCAGCTGCTGCGGGACATGCTGGATGGCCATGGACCCCTCCCCAGCCAGGGACTGAGCGCTGAGGCTGGGGCTACCCCTCGGGCACGCTCCTTGACTGCTCCTGGGGCAAAGCAAATTTGGGCACGGAGAAGGGGCATTTTAAAAACACCACCCGCAAGTTCTTCAGCTCACACTCTATTGACGTAGCACATTTTCCCAGCAACATGGTTCCCAAAAAAGCCCGCCCTGTTTCCTTGACAGCGATGCAGCTGGAGGTCAGGCTGTGGGCTTGGGAGCTGCCTGCTCCCTCCAGCCCTGGCACGAGAGCCTTATTGCCCCCTTATCACCAGCCCTGTCTGCCCGCTGCCAGGGCCAGCGCTGCTGGGCTCCTGCCCGCTCTGACTCATCCCAGAAGCACACAGCGCTTCAGCAAGGCAACACAGAAAATCAAACCCCAGCACTTCCGAAAAAACCACCACCCCAAACCCAATCCAACAGAGGAATGTCAGACTCAGCTCCTTCCAAGCAGCGCTGCCCCGGGGGGGAGGCAGGGATGCAGGGGTGGGTACCCTCAAACACCCTGCCCCCCAGGAGGGGAGCGCTCAGGTCAGGGACCCCATGGCCATGCAGAGTGCCAGGGTGACAGCCCTGCCAAAAACCCAGTGCCCAGGTGACAGCCCTGCCAAAAAAACAGCTGTCTCTACCCAAGCCCTGGGAACCTGGCTCCGGCTCCTGGTTGAAGGGGATGAGTCTGTTTTCAAGACGTCCCTAAAAATAAAGCGAGGCTGAGTAACAGCACAAGCCCGAGCACCGCACCCGCAGCCGAGAGGGACCGGAGGTGAGCACACAGGAGCTGGCCCCGGGCTACGGGCAAGGGAGGGGAGCTGGGGCTGTGGGAGCCTGGGACGGCAGCACAGGCAGACACACGCCACACAACTGGAGGGGAGAGGCAGCTCCCAGAGACTGAGGATGTGATCGAGGGTGAGATAAGCGTTTTGCAGAGGGAGGCTGCTCCGCACAGCTGAGAGCTCACATGGTGCTGGATGGAGCAGAGCAAACCTCATTCCATGGGAAAGCCCCCGAGTCCAGCGGTGCTCCTGGGGGCCTTCCCCAACTCCAGCCAGGCTGAACCCTCCCTGACCAAGCTCGGGGTGGCATGGAATCACTGCTGTGTCCCTACACTTCTAAGGGGATGATGGTGCCCCTGTGAGATGGAGCTGGCAGCAAAACCTGGGGTCACAGCTGTGCTGGGGGAGGAGGCTCCTTCCCCCAGAGCCCCCAGCCCTCTTCTCCAGCTGCTGCCTGCACAAACATGGTTTTCTGACTACTCACCAAAGGCAGTGGCCAAACGCCGCTGCGCAGGAAAAGCAAGTGTGTGGTGCTGCTGAAGCCCATCCATCCGTCCTCTGCGGCAGTCCCAGCCCAGCCGGGAGGTGCCCTTGCACCCGAGAGCCCTCAGTACTTCCTGCAAGCTTTTCTCATGCTCCTGAGCCCACAGGAGGGCTGGAGATCACAGATTCACAGAATTGCCTACGTTGGAAGGGACCTTTAAGATCATCTAGTCCAACCACCAACCTAACTCTGAAAACAAACAAACAAAAAAAAACCACCAAACACCAACACTAAACCGTATTCCCGAGCACCATGTCAACTCATCTTTTGAATATCTCCAGGGATGGTGCCTCAACCACTTCCCTGGGCAGCCCATTCCAATGCTTGATAACCCTTTCAGTGAAGAAATTTTTACTCGCATCCAACCTGAACCTCTCCTGGTGCCACTTGAGGCCAGTTCCTCTTCTCCTGTCGCCTGTGACTTGGGAGAAGAGACCAACCCCTGCCTCTCTACAACCTCCTTTGGCAAGTGGTCCTGGCTAGGGTTACCCCTTGTGCTTTGACATAACACTGCCTGGGGTTCCCAGAGGCTGGGAGCAGGCAACCCTTGGCCTCGCTCCCCAAGCTAATTGCATTTAACACAGCCTGGGATCCCAGCCCCACCAGGGCTCCCGTCTGTCCTGTGACCTCTTGCACAAGCCCTGGTGCTCCCCTGTGCTGAGCTCAGCCCTGAAACACCACCAGCCAGAGAGGTCCCAGGAGCCCCAGCACAGCAGCATCACCTCTTTTTGGGGAGGTCAGTGAGACAGTCCCAGGTCCGTGCCCCCCCCATGCTGGCACACCTCCAGAGTGTCCCCACAGCCCAAGCGGTGGGCACAGCAAAGCCGAGAGGCTCTGAATCACCAAGGGACTCGAGACTGCTCGGAAAAACGCATGTAATCGCTAAAATTAGCAGCTTGTGGGCTTGGCCGGGAGAGCGTGTCGCTCATCTGCCAAACAGCTGAGCACGCTCGCCCACGCCACACGGCTGCACAGCCCGGATCCCCCTGGCCCCCGCTCCCCCCACACCCACCAGCTAAATTGCCACCTCTAGGAGGGACAGGACATCCCCAGGACCTGCCATTGCCCACCACCCTGCCACCCCCCACCACCGCCCCAGTTATTCCTCACTGCTGTGGAGAGCCCGTCTCTCTATGAGAAACCCCCCGGTGGCCCCCGGTGCTGGCAGAGACCAGCTGGTCCAGGGCACGGGGCCAAACCCCGCTCTGCTGCAGCGGGGAGGAGGGCTGGGGGCCAGGGGAGGGGGTCCCCTTGGTGCTCCGGGGTGGGAGGGGGACACAGACACCTCTGCGCTTGAGCTGTGCAGCAGAACACATAGGCTCAAGCCATGTCTGAGGGTGAAGGATGGTGCCTTAGTCCTTGGGGAGCAGTGCTGGGCCACCCCTCCGCCAACAGAGAGGCACTAGCAGCCCCTTCCCCACCACACACACTGCCAACCCCAAACCAGACAACCTCCACAGGGCCAGTGATCCAGCCTCTGTGACTTTCTCGGCTCCCTACTGGAAACAGGGCCAGGGCTGCCTCGCTTCTCGTGGCTACAGGATGCCCCATCCGCATCCGGGGACAGGCGGGGGGGCATGGCCTGCCTTCCCTGGGGACACACATGTTGGGGTGGGAGCTTCAGGAAGGAGCAGCAGCCCTGGTACCTCCAGGACGGGCAGCAGGGATAGCCATCAGGCTAAACCTCCATCCAAACACCAGCATGAGACCCACCACAACCCTCCTGGAGCTCCAGGAAAACAGCATTTAGGATCTCAAGCTCTAGAGCAGGGCTCATGGCCAGCAGAAACGTCTCCTCCAGGCTCGGCCCTGGCCCAAGCCCTGAGCGATAGCAGCAGCACAGAGGGCTTGGCGCGGGCTCAGGGCAGGGCTAAGCTGGAAGGAATGTGGGGCTTGTGGCCAAGTCCGCCTGGAGAGATAATCCGAAGCGGAAAGAGTTTGTCCGATGGGAGCTGCGGGAGGGGGGAAGGACCGGCTGGAGCAGGAGGCGATGGAGGGGGACTCTCCCTGCTCATGCACCACAAAGTGTTTGCTGGACCAGCTTCGCCCCGTTCCCCATCTCCATCCCTGACACCAGGGAGTGTCCCAGGGACCCCTTCCCGACACCCCAAGGGGGAAGGGGCCCCATCTCTCCCCAGGGCCAGGGAAGTGCAGAGGAGCACAGAGCAGGCTGCAGAGCCACCGCTGGCCCCCAGCCCCGGGCTTTTTTCATCGAGACAGACACAAAGGCACAGCTGGAAGCCTGGCATGTCGGGGAAAACAGACAGCCCTACAGCAGTGATTGCTCAAGAGGTGGCGGGATGTCTCCGGGTGCCGCTGGAGTGGCACTCACCCACCACGGCCCACAAGAGCCCTTGCCAGGGCTTATCTGCCCAAAAACACCCAGGAGGGGAGGGGATGTGAACTCCAACCAACTCCAGCTAGGAAAATGGAGGCGTAATACCTCCTTAGGTGGCCCATCTCTGGATAGAGCAGGGGCAAAGCAGGCGCTTCAGGCCTCCTGATCAGTTTGTAAACACTCACAACCCCACTCTTGTCCCATGGGAACGTGCCTTTGGCTGCATCTCCTCCCAGCTATTGTGTTATCCCTCGGAAATGCCGCGCTCTGATATCACGGCTGCTGAATCAGCTTCCCCAGGCGAGATGTGCTGGTCGGAGGCCCAGAGGAGACACAGCCAATGCTCTGTAACGTCAGGCAGAGGATCCCAGAGCTCCTGCCTCGCAGCCAGCAGTTGCACACACTCCTGAACCATGGAGCGCTGCTGTGTGTCTTCTCTGAGCACATTTGCCATCACCAGGTTTCTCTTTGCCATGGGGAGAGGAAAGACCCGAGGGGCAGGCTCCGATCTTGCTGCTGGGTGCTGGAGGGCTGAGCTGCTTGAAGCAGGCACCTACCTGAGCTCACTGCCCTTTGCAAGCAGTGACAAGGGCCCCCCAGCAGCTACTGGCTGCTTGTGGCAGAGGTGAGATGGAAAGGGCAGAGACACCAGGGACACAAGCACAGGAAATGGGTGCTGGAGGCTTGAAAGGGTCCTGCAGGCAGAGAGCTGCAGGCACTTCTGGCAGCAGTTAATTCCCTCCTTGTCACTGCGCTCTTCAGGGACACTGGGGTCCTGACAAGCAAAGGAGAGTGGCACCTGCCAAGACATCAGGCTGGAAACACGCTGTGTTCTCCATGGCCTGGCACAGGGGGCAGAGCTCCCACTGCTCCAGGATTTCCTAAAGCAGAGAGAGCAGGAGCAACTGCCACGGAAAGAAGCGTGTGAGGGAACCGAGGGAGTTACAGAAGACCCTGGGCTCCACTTTGCTGGTGATATATCCCAAGCACTCCTGACCAGGATGTGGCCCCGGAAGCAGCTCCTGGACTCGGAGGTCTGGCTAACACGGAGGGCTGTTAACGGGGACTCTGCATCCTGTACAGGAGCAGAGGACGTGGAGCTGATCTCCTCAGCCACTGGGTGCAGAGATGCTTTGCATCCATCCTTTCCCCAGCAGCAGGGACCCCCAGGACCAGGGATTAGACACCTCCCAGCTTTTCCAGACCACTGCCCTCCAAGGCCAGCCTGGTGGTGAAGGTCAGGCAGTAGATCGTGGAGGAGTAGTCTACAAGGACTGGGAAAACCCTTGCCAACAGAACTGGCAATGGCAAGCCACGGGTGCCATGGGATGGCAGCAAGGCAATGCTGCCCAGAGAGGGTCCGAGGAGCCCTCCCCACCGCCTCCCACCTGCCACAGCCACCGTCACGCTGACCTGGAAACACAGCAAAACAGAGACAGGGTATAAATAAGCACATTCCTGGATTTCCCAGCCCAGGGAATTTCACAGGAAGGGCTGAACTCTGCTGGGCAGCAAGCAATGAATCAGAGGCAGCTGAAAACAGGACACCTCAGAGGAAGAGGTAGTAGAACACCCCAGGCCCTTATAGCTCCAGCCTTTTGTTGTCTGCTGACTTCACTTCCCCGTCTGGTCTGGCTCAGTGCAGGGAAAGCCCGATGACAGCACGCAAAGACAAATCATCATCATCCTCCTCCTCCCAACCCTTGCCTGTGCGCAGCCGTGAGCCAAAGCCCCACGTGCCAGAGCTCGGCCACTGCCCGAGGGGAGCCAGAGGAACCACACGGAGACCCAGCCGGCCCCACCGTGGGCTGGGGTGGCCAAAGGAGGGCTCACAGAGATGGCAGCTGCTGCTCAACCCATGATCTTCCACAGGTCGGGCACCAGGGTGCTGTACGCCCATACAGTGACTAAACTGCTGCTCTTTCTTACAAATCAGACAGCGTGCATCAGAGTGCCTGTAGCCACGAGCCAATAGCCACCTCCGTTCACAAAACAACTCCCTCGTTAGTCCAGATTATACTTATCTCCTGCCCGCTGCGAGCAGATGCTTGCGTGGCACCAGTACGATGGCGCTGGAGCTGGCACAGCACTAAGTGGTCATTACAGCTCTCCAACCAAGAACCTAAATTTGTCATAACTGCCTCCTTTAAAGCACTAGCATGTAACCACCCAGAACCACCACCAAGAAAGCTTTGTGTTGGTTTTGTGCTTCTCTCTTAAATATATTACAAGAAATATTCTGGAGCTCCTGTTTATGAATCCAGCCCCAGTTTGCTTCGCACCAGCAGTAGTGAGTGAGTAGAGAGTATTTCTCTTTCTTCGATGGCTCTAACTACCATTTTGCCAGGCTTGCTAAGTTTTGCTAAACTTCACCAGCAAGACAATGGCTATTTAACACCACAGAAGCACGTTGCCTCTTTTCACAGCCTAGAAAAGGAATTCAAGTCAAGCAGCAAGAGCACCCTGAAACAACACAGTCCATAGTTTGTTCTCATTGCTCAGAGCAGCTCACAGCAGGGAACACACCAAAAACCTGCAGCAAATGTAAGCTCTCTTCACCTCAGGCTTGTAAAGTGCCATTTCAAGGCCGGCCAGAGAAGACCTCAATAGTTAGAAAGTCAGTAAGGCTACAAAAGGACTCCTGGAGTGTTGGGTCTCAAAGTATCAATACCTGAGCAGACAAGGAACCACGTCCAGGGGCTCTTTAATCCAGCTTTTGAGCACATCAGAGCTTTAAGAACAAAGTCAGTCATGTAATTAAGCAAAAAATTAATTCAAGAGCAACCAAAGAAGCACATGCAGTCTGACAGCTATCAGTCAACTTACAAACTAAAACACTCATATCATTCAAAACATTTCAGGGTGAAGACCAAAACCCACACTACTGCCCTGGAGCTGCATTCGCACACCAACACTTGAATGGGCTGGAAGTCAGGGAGCGGTGCTATAGAATAAGAAAAGGTAAAAAGTACTGAGGCTGAATATGACCAAATGTGATACTGCACACCAAGATTTGACAGAGATACATACGTTCCCCAGCCAACTTCAGAAAAGGTGGCAGCACTTCAGGGCCCTGGGTTCAGGCAGGCTCCCTCCCACTGTGCTGTATGCCTGCAAGCCCAGGAGACACCATCCCCTTCTCTCCCAGCTCACTCGTGACCAGCTCTCAAACCAACGATGCTCTTCTGGGGCTACGCTGTGCTTCCGGGCATCTGCCCGGTGCTGCGGGTCCAAGACTCGCTCCAGCAGGCAGTGAGTAACACCTTGCTTTTCAGACCACTGGGCAAAGTTTAAGAATGAAAGTGTTTACTTAAAATTCAGAGCTGTATTAATGTTACAAAGTTTCCAAAAAAACCCAAAACAAACAACAAAATACATCAAGATCATATTCCTGAGCCCAGCATCTTGCTTATCTTGCTCTGGTTAAGCTAAAGGAAAGCACTGTTAGATTTAAATGGTACTGTGTCCTCCTGCCACGTCCTGGAAAAGGGCTGAGAACAGAAAGCAAAAATTAAAACACTTGCACTGTATCATTCTGCCCCCACCCACATCTTAAAAGGTCTTTTCCAGCAGCTCCTCCCAAAAATACCATTTCTTTTCTCCACGAGGAGACAAAGCATTGCAGGCAGTATAAGGCACATCAGCATTTGGACACTACGGGCAGCCTCTACAGCAGGGTTGAGGCAGTGCTCCCGTGTAGGCTGCCCTACATCAGTGCCACTTCCACCCGAGGAGCTGTGTCCGGAGGGACAGGGCTCCAGCCCCAAACCAGCAGCACACACAGAGGTGACCACAGATTTTCTTTCAGCTCTCCCTCTGGGTTCATGCACCAAGTGCTGCGGCACCACACAGTGATTACAACCACTGCTGGCAAACCCTGCAAGGTACAGACAGAAAAGCACATGCTCATTATGCTGTAAAGACAAGGTCTTTATGGTTCTTGCTGTAAAGATTTGTAATCCATATCCAAATCAAGTGCCGACTGCCCAAATGCTCAAAATGCATCCAAAGCGGTGCTTCTAATCCTCTCCTTGGCTGGTATTGTCTATCTTAAAAAAACTTATCAGAACTACAGGCTGAGCAGGAGCATTTCTGGAGTGCAAGAGTTGCCTGGTTTTACTCATCACATACAGACTGAGCACAATGGTTACAGTCTGGAGCGCTAAAATCAAATTGTGAAGGCACAAAAATAGCTGACAATAAGCAACTCTGGCATTAAAATAGGGGTTAGCAGTCCTGCGGGCTGGCAGCTCATCCCACTGGGCAAGAGTAGTTACATCTGTCCCTCTGACACCGTTGCTTTCTACTGTGCGACCGGGAGAAGTTTGGGTTGGAACACTTGAGAAATGAAACCCAGGCTGTCCAACATCTTCAAGGTGTGAATAGGTGTAATCTGGAGTTGCACGAGGAACTGATGTGGGTGTGCTGGTCTCCAGGCCAGACACCGCTGCTACAGTAGTCTCCCAAGATGATGTTAAGTGCTCCCTCATAAGGGAAGTAGAATTTGGGGGATCGGTTGAGCTCAACATCTGGTATGTAACGGGTGTTGTTGGTGGGCACTCCAGGTGGTCATCTGTCAGAGCCACAAGGGAAATATTCTGCAGTGCCAGTGGGCTGTCACACCTCAGGGATGGTGTGTTTTTAACTATCTCCACGCTCTTCTGGAGCCACTCTTGGAAGCCAAGAATTTGGCAATCACATTTCCAAGGGTTGTCATCAAGGAAGACTTCTTGCAGCTCGGGTAAAGCAGTAAAGAAATCTCCAGGAAGAGACTGCAGATTTGTACTATTGAGGTAAACTTTCTGAAGGTGCTTGAGATTACGAAAGAGGTTTCTAGGAAGAACCTCAAGCCTCGTACTGTAAAGCGAAATGTTGTGCAGTTTCTGAAGGCTCAGGAAGATGCCCTCTGGCAGACTGGAAATATTATTTGTATGCAGAGAAAGGCCCCGCAGTTCATTCAGACCACTGAATGCATTCTTGGGAAGAACACTAAGCTCTGGATTAAAGCTTAGCACAAGAAGCTCCAAATTTGTCAAGTTACTGAACACAAAATCTGGTATTGTTGAGAGCTTTGTGTGATACAGCCACAGGCTACCAAGATGCCTCATTTCTCCAAACAACACTTCTGGAAGAGACTTCAGTGGGTTCCCGTACAAGGTCAATTTAGAGAGGTCATGCAAACGCAGAAAGAGTCCAGGAGGCAAAACCTCAAGCCTGTTTCTGGAGAGCGTGAGGATTCTCAGTTTATGAAGACAATTAAATGCATCAGGGGCAATGGACTGGATGTTATTGGAATGCAGGAAGAGTTCCAGCAGCTCCTTCAGGCTATCAAACATACCAGACTCTATTGAAGACAGCCTGTTAAAATACAACATCAGCTTCTCAAGCCTGGCTAATGCACTAAATATATTTCTGGGAAGTGCTGCCAAACAATTTCTTGACAAGTTCAGTACTTTGAGTTTGGCAAGTTTCTTCAGCACGTCACCAGGAAGTGCTGTTAGTTGGTTTTTGTTCAAGAAAAGCCCCTCCAAGCTAGCTAGTTTGTCAAACAGATTTTCTCCGATGGATTTCAACCTGTTATTTTCAAGGATCAACTGCTGAAGCTGTACCATGTCATCAAACACTCCTGGAGGAAGTTCAACCAACTTATTATCTAGCAGCTTGAGGGCTTTTAGCCTTCGTAAGCCTTTAAAAGCCATTGATGAAATCAGAGAGATGTTGTTTGAAGACAAGAAAAGATGCTGCAGTTCCACCATCCCAGCAAAAACATCTTGCAAGTATGTTACATTGGTGCCCGTTACGTGAATTTCTGTCATGTTACAAGGCAGATTTAGGGATTCCAGGTCTTTTATGTGGGGACCAGAGCAATGAATTGCCTTTTTTGAAGAGCAGTCGCATTTCTCAGGACAAATAGATGCATCCAACTGGAAGAAAAGCTTGATCATCACTGACAAACGGAACATCAACATCCTTGTTGAAGCGCCAGAAACATCAGCTGTTACAAGAGATAAGAGAGAGTCAGGATTTTATCACAAGTAGTTAATAATTTAGCAGCCAAAGTTGTGTGAATATATCACAAAACCTGCAAATGTGCAAAATTTCTCTTGGCTCAAAAGCAAACTGTAAAAATCTCTATTACTGTTGACTGAAAATATTTCTGAGGTGCTCAGTTTACACTGAGAAATACACATATAGCTCTTTTGAAAATCAAGTATTCCTTATTTATATTTGTACTAGTCAAGTATAATAAAAGCATATGAATATCATGATGAAACTCTAAGTAGTCATAAGACATATTTATTTGAACACAAAAAACATTGTTACATACAAAGTCTTTTAAAAAAAGAAGTATCAAAAGGTCCTGCTCCAACAATATTTTTTAATAATAAATTGTAGGGTATCTGAGGTTTAAAAATAAAGTTGAGCCTGCAAAAATAGACAATGGAGGTAAAAAGGGTGTCCTATATTTTCAGTGGCCAAAAGCAAAACAGCACACAGTTCTGATAAATCATCTCTCAGCATTTCCAAGTGATCGCTTCTTGGAACCGCCCAAGAACACACAAGAAGCAACAGGCTATTTTTGACATCGCCTGAAATAACACACAAGAGCTCGTGTGGCTCGGGGCAGGAGTGAGCCTCTGATAACCACCACGTCTCATTTCAGCAGCTTAACACAATACTCGGTTAACAGTGGTATTAAAAATACAATGAAATAAGAGGAAAGAAATGCCATGAGGTTTGCTAGAGAGTGGTACCAATAACGGTAGATCTGCATGAAACGTACCACAAAGTTGTAAAGTCATAGATTTCCAAACAAAAAAAGGAACAGGAAGACAACGGTTGTAGCAATAATAACAATATTTAAAACAGCAAGTCAAAGAGAAATCCACAGTTTAGAAATACTTCCTCAGTGAAATCAACAAGTCCAAGTGTAATCAGAAACCTGGAAGCCAAGCACCTGGCTGAGGAGAAGCAGCAGCTGGGACTGCTGGATTAGCTGGACAAGTTAGTGGATGTAACTGGAATAGCCAACACCATGTCTTCAGCACCCGGAACACTGGGGGAGAGGAGGACTCCCATCCCAACCTGCCATTTTCCGGGGGCAAGGATGAAGCTCTCCCACACCGACCCCTCCCACAGACATGGGTACAAACCCCATCGCTTAAAGAAGCCAGGTGGGACGGCAGAGCTTTCCACATGCCTGAACTGCTGACAAGAACATACCACCATGGATCAAAACCAGCTGTTGCACCAAAAAAAAAAAAAGCAAAAGGGAGTTCTTTAAAAAAAAAAAAAAACACCCAAAAAAATTCTTGGTTAGGTTCAGCGTACTGAAGACTGGTAAAATCTGCATCTCTTCCTTGGGAAGGGAAGGACACAGCATCTAGTAGTGTCAACCACCAGCAATGTGGTGCCACAAAGCAAGCTCTTGCTGGGCTTTTTACATTTTCAGTTGTAGAAAGTTATTAAAAAAAAAAAAAAAAAAAAAAAAAAAGGCTCTGAGATTTCATCTTTCCAAAAGACTTTTCCAAGTCAAACAAGAATCTCTCAGAGAACCTCACCCTCCTAGTAACCCCCTCTGACCCTGATCCCACCTCTCCCCACCTCAGCACGCCGATGAGGAGCACATCCCCAGGCACCCAGGGTGAGTACCTGAGCCCCCAGCGAGCCGCTTCTGGGGGTGCCCAAGTACACCCCTCCACGCAGGGCAGAAACAGACCAAGAAATTTCTGTTTCAAGCCCTGACTGGCATCTCAACCTGCACCAACTCAGCCCAAGACCATGGCAGAACTACAGGATTCAGTGAGGTGAGAGAAATAAGGATCCAGAGAACCAAATGGGGGAAAAAAAAAACCAAACACAAACCACACCACAAAACCCCAAACTCTTACGCTACAGATCGCAAATGCAGGTCCCTCCGAGGGCACGACTGCAGGCTGTAAAATAAGAAAGAGGCTAAGGCCAGGCTGCAGACTGGGAATGACCATTTTCCTGGTCTCACAGCAGAAGGTGAGAGTATTCAACGAGGCAAGGTCAGAGACTCGGAACTGCTCAGGAACGAACAATGGAATGGTAGAAGCTCTTTGCAAGAGATTAAGGCCACAAGCATATGACTGGCACAGGAACTGGATAATCCTATGGATCTCAAACAGCTACAGCTGCTAATGGTATTTTTTTTAAGAAATAACTTTAAACTTCCACAATTGAAGATTTTAATAGTAGAGAACACAGCAAGAGCCAAGTAAGGACCATACTTATCGATTCCCATGTATTAAAATTTTCTCAGACCCTTGCATGAGACACCTGGCATTCCAGAAAGGACACCAGCCTGGCTGCTCATTTACCACATTCTGGTCTACAACCTCTTTCCCTTCCTACCACCCCCTCAGTGTTTCTCAGACTACGAACAGTTGCCAGATGCAATAAATTAATGCTGTCCGTATATTAAAAGTCACAAATCAGTTTTGAACTGAGTTTCATAGAATACTGAGCGCACGTATCATTTACTATGGTGCTTAAGTTTTTTACTTTCTTACAAGTTTCTAAACTCCTATGACCGTGAAAAAGGACTTTTGACCTGTACCTTGGGGACTTATCTGCTTTTTAGAGGAACTTACAGGGAGCATTGCAGGCAATCGGGCTTCACCATGACTCTGCACTTCACATGGGAAGTAAACCAGCAAAACGCATCCTCTAGATAACACTTTCACCCATATTTGCTTAACTACTGTGAAAGGCCAAAGAGTATTTTCAATTTCAGAGCAGATTTTGCCTGCATTTAGTTGTGCAAGCAACCAGCTTCCAGAGGTTGTACACAACTCCAGAAGTAGAACTGGAGGCCACTCATAACAAGGAGAAAGCCTGAAGTCACATACACAATAGCATAAAACACAGTTGTATCTTCTTTGACAGTGATATTAGAGTATGTGCTTCAACCAACCCCGTGCAAATCTGCTTAGAGTCAGAAATCTACATTTCAACATGAATTATGACCAGAAAGAAATTTCAAATTTCTTAAGACAGTTTCACCATGGTCTTCTAATACAGGCACATTAGGTTTTGAAGAAGTGGACACATCTACTTCAAACCACCAAGTGACTGAGATGTACCTTCACGAGGCTGCTCTGACTTTTACTTTCTTGCAGGATCGGAGTCAAAGCAATTTGAGCAAGGAATGAATCCACTGAACCCTTTGGCTAAGCAATCCAGGGCTGACCCATGTGGCTTCTGGTTTTCCTCTAAGTCTTCTGTAGTCACGGGCCAACAAAACCTAAAGCCTGAGAGATTCTGAAGAGAGAAAAGCTTTAAATTTTCGAAATATTAGCTTGAAATTAGAAGACAAAGTTCGTGTAATGAAGTAATCAAACATCTTCAAGTTTAAAATAATGTGCTCTGTCAATGAATATTTAAACAGAAGGTGAGCTGCAGGATGGAAAAGACGCTTTCATTTGTGTGATTTTTCCAAAGACAATTGCAATGACAGTGCCAGCTCACAGCCAGGAACATTTGCCCAAGAGTCCTTCCACAACAATGCCTCCCATGCGTCAAAGAACAGAAGGAACATCTGGATAACAGAAGGTGGGAACAAGATGCCATCACATGTACAAGGTCTGGTTTTAAAATGGCTCTTATAAGCCATCAGGTAAAAGTAGTCACTGTTACCCCACTGCAGCAGAGCAGCGCTGTCATATGCACTGCTAACGCCCGGCACACACACTTCACCACTGCCCACAGTTCATCTCTGTCTTCAAAAACACAGGGGCACCGAATGAGACACCCAGGAAATGTTCAAGGCCAGGCTGGATGGGGCTTTGAGCAACCTGGTCTAGTGGGAGGTTTCCCTGCCCACGGCAGGGGGCTTGGAACTCAATCTTTACGGTCTCTTCCAACTCTAACCATTCTACGACATCAGTGGGATTAAGTCTGACTTCTTCAACAAGCTTTGGACCTAACTGTATAAAGAATAATTGAAAACAATTTCATGAAACTAATGAAAAGAGTTAAAATATCTGTTCATTTTAATTTTATTTTCAAAGAGCTTCAGTCACAAAAATGATTTACAATTCTATTTACAATTCTATTGTACAGTTATTTATGTATGCCTCTTGACAACAGGGTACCATTCTAGAGCAGCAATACATATTTTAAATACAAAGATGTAATATCATTTCAGATTTAAAAATAAAAGGAAGCTGAGCTTCTAGAGAGCGCTGTAATGATGAACTTTTTAATCTGTGTTAGGCTTGAGGAATTCATGACAAACCGAGTAGTTTCTGGTTCACATAATTATCAAACAAGCTGCAGTTGTTGAAAATAGCTTTAAAAACCTGAAGCTTTACTGTATAAAATCAACATATTCAAGACTCTAAAAATTGTCAAAAACCCACAGCTTTCCCTTAGACATACAAAAACCTAAGTTTACAATTCAGAATTTCATGGGAGAAATCCTACAGAACTTTAGCTCTCTCTTTTTGTGATGACCAACGTAAGCATTAAAAATTTGCAGCATAAAAAGGACTCCACATCTGCTTAGTATTATACTGTATACACATATACAGTACAGGATTATTTACCCAATTTGGGATGACTGTTCAGCACAACCTTCATGAAGAAAGAAAAAAAATAAATAGAATTTTAAATCCAACGACTTTTTAAAAGTGCAACAGTAAGAGTCTCCAATTTAAAGTTATGATGAATATGGACAGTCAGTTCTGTGGGTGTTTTAGCCGCTTCTACTCAAGCATTATTCGCAGCATTTTCTTTACAGTAGATTTAGTTCTATAGTACATGGAACAAGAGTTACAGCTAATTAAATCTGAAGGGAAGAGGAAAAAAAATCCACTTTAAAAATAACCCTGAGGGATATACAATTTAATGATCTTGCAATTTATTTCTAAAAAGTAACATTTATTATTTAGCAATTGCTTTTCTGGGTAGACCAGTCCTTTAAGTATGTGCATAAATAATATTTAAAAATCAGTAATATTTACAAATCCTAATACATCAAAGTAAAATACGTACAGATTTAAGTCTGCATACACAAATAATTTAATAATAAATCAAACTCCTCAATGTAAGGCCAAAATATACAGCAGGAAGAAAATGTCTACCAAGTATCTAGTGGAGATCACTAAATTGGTCTGTTCACCTGAATTTAGACTTCCAAGATGAACATTAGAAGAGATTCTTTTAACTACGAACTGAATTTCATCTTACTTCAAAGCAGAAACTGAATATGCTAGTGCAGATCTAGTTTGCTGCATTTCTGAAAACCAGAAAAAATAAACTGCTCAAAATGAGAAAAATTATAGGTGGCCAAACTCAGCTCTTGGGCAGGAAGGCATAAATCCCAATAATCGCAGAAGATGCAAAAGCTTATTTTGTGGCTGAACTGCAACAAACAAGAAGGATCCTCAGAAAAGCAGATTTATTATTCTTGACTAAGCGTCAGAAGCAAATAGGTCAGAGCTCAAGCATGCAACCTCAAGAACGTTCACTAACTCTGAACGCATACCTTGAGGAAACCGGCTCCCGTTTGCAAAAAGTACTCAAGTTTAAGAAACTCATGACCCATGAGTCACCCAATCAAGTGAAGACACTTGGCAATTTCTATTTAGTAAGAGTTCCCTAAAATACTTTCCGAAGACAAGCCCGCCTTAATAAGCTGTTTCCTCCTTGCTTTTCTGGTAAGTCTAATAAGCTACAATAAGACAAAAGACTAGCTTCAGAAACAAGAAAAACTGCAAGAAATTATCAGTTTAGAGAAAGTATTAAGCAAAAGGGAAAGACCCAAATATTTTCTTTCACTTCTGATGGAACAATCAAGCCAAAACGGTCAATGAAATGGAAAGCAAAAGCTTATGCGTTTGAGGATAAGTCACAGCTCCCAGGTCCAAGATGCATAGCTTCACAACATTTTTCAACTAAAATATTATTTTTCTTTAAATTTGAGTACTACTTACGCAGCTAAGAATTATTCTTCATCGATTATTCCATGCTACAAAGATTTTGTAAGATCAACATTGACAGAAGTTAGCCAACTGACTCAAGCTCATGATTAAGAAGCTTATCCAAGTCCACAATTGCAGACCCCTTAAAAAGCTACCAATGTTGTTCGATGTTTATGACCATAAGAAGCCAGGATAATACGACTTTTACGTTGCTCTGCTGAATGAATGCCAAGAAAACCACTTTTCTCTTCCTCCTGCTCCACCCCTCACAAAACAACAACAAAATCAGGAAAAGAGTTGACAGCTGGACAGGAGATAGTACACCATACGCGTACTATTTATGAGGAGCAAGTGCTAGTAACTTACAACCCTAAGTTCTAGGAAAAAGTCTTCCAAACATTTAGCTCCGTTTTTAAATTCCTCATTGGCACAGTACGTTCAACACTGCCGAAACCGTAACGTGAGCAGTGGGGGACGCTGCCCGTACCGCCTTACAGAGCACCACAGGGGAATGAGGCCCAACCAGAAAAAATTCCCCTTATTAAAACAATGCTGGAATGAAATAGTCTCCACAGGAATTTAAAAAACGCTTTCAAATTCCATCATCAGAATATACACAAGTCACACTAATCCCAGCCAGTTGGGGAATTTGGGACACAGCTCCTTCACAACTACCCTAAAGGGCCAGACTTCCTTCTCTAAAGATCTCTACAGAATTGCCATTTCTCCAGATCCCCTCCCAAAACCTGGAGGTGCCCAAAACAGTCAGTTGCAGACTAGGCAAAAGTCACTATTTTTATCGTCTTCCCAAAGACACTAAAGAAGACTCTCCTGACAGCTTAGGATGTTGAAGATGGTTTGGAGATAAGTAATGTGTGGTTAAAAAAAAAAATAGTTTTAAGCTTTACAGGTGAAGATGATGCCTGCCTCTACATCTTTGCAGTTCTATTCTTCTAGTGGCCTTGTGTTTTGACACTGCCAAATGGCAAAATGATGTTATCACTACCCCTAGTGCTTAAGCAGCGTTATTGTTGATGCAAGCATTTCTTTTTTTTTTTTTTTAGTAAGTAAAATCCACTTAAGCCTTACAGTTCTGCAGCAAGACAGATTTTAGCTCAACTATTTTCTCTTAATTTTGTTTCATACAGCTACATATAGCGCTTAAGACAATGGCAGACTCTTTGAAATGCATATGTTCTTAACATGCACAAATCCCAAGCGTGGGCATGTGAAAATATTTCTCCCTCCTACCCCCGTTTCCCTTGCAGCAGTAACTCTGGCCTTACTACTTCAAGGTATATAGGAAAATTATCTTAACATTTAGACGGAAAACATGGTCTACAAAGGGATAATCCAATCCTTCTGTTACAAAAAGCAAGGTCTGTGGAGAAATGCATAGCTAAATGTAATAAAACACGAGACAGAAGAAAGTATTAAGATTCTCCAGCCTTCCTTCTCCAAAAACTTCAGAGCGTAGCCAAATGCCTCCCCTCCACTGGAGGCCACCTAAGCCCTTCCTTGGGGTTAGCTAGAAAGGAAGCTAAGAACCCACTTGAAAGCAATGTGCTTTCTTTTTAAGGACAGAGCATACTGCTTTTATAGCATTCCCAGTTCCTGCTGTGGCAGACTAAAGACTTAAAACTTAAAATCCAAAATTTACACCTGGAAACACTCTTTACTAGTAGGGACAAACTTAGAGGTACACACATCAAAACTTCAGAACCGTTCTGAGGCACAAAGCTTTTCAAGAGTATCAAAAAAAAAAAACCAAAACCAAAAGGCATGACAAGGTTACGATGTGCCTCTAATATTACCAGGAACCCATCGCATCACAGGGCTTACACAAACACGTGCCCAGGTAAGCAGTTAGAACAATGATTGAGATAACTCCAGGCAAATAAAGTGAACCTGTTTTAACTGCCCTGCAGTTTAAACCTTCAAATACATCTCATTTAGGAGTAATGAAATTTGAAAGAAGGTGGAAGGAAACACAATCATGTTTGCTCTGCCTAAGGTAACCTACATTTTTAAAATGTATAGCCAGAAGACATCTGGCTCTGAAATTTGTATTCAGAGAGACAAAACAGTTGGAATATCTGCATTAGAATTTGATGTTTAGTGTACTGCAATTTCAAATAAAGCCTTAAAATTACATTCTTCTGAATACTACTGAAGACACATGCCACCAAGATCCACTGTTACGTTACAGTGATGATTTGATATGATCCATTTCCTTGGGGTGGTACTTTAGCTTCTGTTGTTGTTCTGGGTTTTGGTGGCCATTCTGGATCAACCAGCAGTTCCTGAGCTAGATGCATATACTTGGCTTTTGGTGTCTTCTCTCTACAACCAAACAGGGAAGAAAGGAAAGAGACTCCACACCGATCCACAGCCTCCTGCAGAAGTGAACAGATTTGAAAATGTTATTACAATAAGAAAAAAAATAATATAACTAACAATACAGTAACTCGATAGAAGGTAAACTTTTATTTTCTAATTTGCTATGTCTTGTCACATTGGACCTAGAAAGCAGCAGTACAGAAACTCTGCTGTTGTTATCTCTTCTATACTGTGGTAGCAATGACATTTAAAAACCATTAAGAAAAAACAAGTATTCTACATTATCGTAACATCTAAGGTCACCAATAGCTTTTATGTGTATTTTATATTAGTTTCAATAAGCACAGGTAAAACAGGCACTATTAATTGATGCTACTATTGAAGAATAAAAGCCTGCTCCAGAAAAAGCAGTCAAATTCCCAGAGTCTCAAAACACTTTTTAACCAATGAATTAACTAAAGGCAGCCAGGCAGCCACAAGTGGCAGTATTTAACTTGCTGATACTGTGAAACCCAAGTCCTACAGTTATTAACAGTTATTAAAACAGACACAAATTACTGAACTTAAGCCTGCCTTCCTGTTTTTCCTCTCCTTGTCCCAAACGCATGTAGCTTAACTAGCTGGTGCAGAGAAACACCATTCCTCATTCTCAAGACCCTTTCCTGTCTCAGAGCACCTGTAGTCTGCAGGGCTGATATGTAATGGGGATAGTATTCTATGGTTCTCTTTATGCTCAGAATTTCTATCGATTGGTGAACTGAACCAAACATGAGCCTTAAGAACAACCACGATTCTTCAGTGAATACAAAGCAATGTTTTCTTCAACAGCCTCAAAATGACAAACGTAAATCTGAAGTGAATACATTTAATAAAATTTAGTACTGAGAAATGAACCATTGCAATTTCAACAAAGACAAATGTACAACCAGCTAAAAGTAAGAAGCCAACAGGCTTAAAAAAAGAAAAAGCTATTTTTTACAGGATTCACATATATTTCCTTTATGTATTAAAGGCAGAGGGGCAGACCAGACCAAGATTCATGGTCACCAGAAAAGCTGGAGCTAAATCCTTCAGTCTCCTAAACCGTCTGAAGTAGTAATAACACACTTTCATTTGACATTTGGTTTTGCTTCATTTATACGTGCTGTAAATTACTGCTCTCACGAGACAGTGTTCTAAAACCCTAAACCAAATTAACCTAATAAAGAACTGGATTAGATCCAGCATCAGCAATTCTGCTTCCAAGCAAATCAAGATGTTCTCCAGTCCTAGCATGCTAACTTGGGACAACACAAATAAAATTTGCCAATGCGCAAACTGAAGATAAAGTGAGAAAAGTCTTAAAAGCAATCCTCTGGGTTTGCTTCACAGTTCTTGTATACAGAGTTATATTCCTTAAGTGTCAACAAGGAGAAAAATATAAAACCAGAAGCCTTTCCTTTTAATATTCAAGTTACAGAAATCTAATTTAAACAGTCCTAAGCTTAAGATAAGGCAACAGACACTTATAGATCATAAAAAAGACAAAACTGAATTAATCGGCATGCACTTAAATGACGACAGCAAAATACTAGTCTCCAACCTGAGGTGGCTGGGGTATGGTGAGGCGATATTCTCCTTGTTTGTCTCGATTGAACACAACCTTCCAAAGGATCATATCAAGGAGGACATTCTGTGAGACATTGCAGTGAGCGGGAAGAATTAAAGAAACTAATGATCATTTGTTGTTAGTGTGCATATTACAAATAAAACCCCGAATAGTGTGTTGGGCATGACTAATTCAGTGCCAGGCAAAACGGAGAGTTTACGTTATTTGTCACTATACTTAAGTGATAAACATTTTCATTCTTAAAGTGCTCATATAAGATTTAAGAATATGTACATGTACTTTAAATCAATAGCAACAATGACCAAAACTGCATCCATCGATACAGGTAGAAATCATAAATACACATTCTTAATGTGTTTCAGTACTTTAAAAAAACCTCAGAAGCGCTGCAGACATGAATGCTTTAAGCAGTTTCCCCTCAAAACACCTTTAACACTCTAGCATACTTCATGCCAGAGCAAAGCTTTGCTCGTGGCTCATTTTAAACCAGCGACATTCCCCGGAAAAGCTTCAGTCGGGCGGCAAAGCTGAGCCACCAGCAGGAATTCTGAAGGAGCCGTTCCAGATTTTGGAAAAGAGGGCAGAACTTGAACAGTCTGTTCAGTACATCTGGTTATTCTCACAGGGCTGTGTGGGCAGACCCGAGCCTTGAACAAATCCAGCAACACAGGTGTGAACCTGTATCTTCCATGGCCTTGAGCGTTCAGCTCTGCTCTTTGGACAGATTCCATTTCTCACATCTGACTAATCTCTGCCCTTGAGAAAGGAGAGCTGATTAGCCAGGCTTTTATAATAGATATTATAATGCTCATGATTTTATAATGTACTAGAATTTTATACTGCTTTTATAAAGCTTTTGCCAACAATCTTCAGCTTGTTAGATGTTCATTTTTGAAGGCAGTCAGTCTGGTTTAAGTATGTCTATACCAGGCATCGGGGTAAGGAGGAACATCTGCTAGGATCTGCCTTTGTTGTGCAATGTTTCCTACCACCTGGTAGAAAGAACACACGTGCTTTGTGAACCTGGTCTGGCACCCACACAGAAGGAGCAAAAGCTTCACACTGCATTTCAGAAAACATCTTTGGGACAACCACAGTCAGAAATCATTCCTGTTGTAGAAGCAATTAAGAAACTACACACGAGAGTAGTGTCACACAAGTGTCAAATTGGGAAGT